CCTTATGAATTTCGTCCAATAACAGCTTACTGCACTCCCTATCAAGGTTTCAGGGCCTATAAATCACTCCCAAAATTAATTTGTCATGAACCTCGAGAAACTGTAGCCAGATTCTGTGCCCGATGTCTCTAATCTTATATCATGTCTAAGACAGCAATTTAAATTTTCTCTGACATACATCACCACTCCACCACCCTTCCTGTTGACCCTATCAGTGTGGAATAGTTTATAACCCTGTATGATGCATTCATAGGGCATTTCTCTATATTTCAGGTTGAACCAGGTTTCTGTTATACCAATAATATCTATATTACCTGCACTTGCAAGTAACCTTACCTCATTTATCTTACTTCTTAGACTCCTACTATTTGTGTAGTAAACCTTAAGGGAGCTAGTCACTCATTGCACTCTATCTCACTTTGTTGATCAATTGCTTTGCATTTACTAGCAACTTTAAGTATATTCTTTTAAGCATATTCCTGAGGTATCCTGGTAATATCTTCTGTTTTCAACACCAACACTGCAGCTTGGTTGTTTCACACAAACACCCATACCTCTATAATCTATCAGTTTAAAGCCCTAGACAAGTCATCAATTACCCTTTCAATTGAATTGGCTAATGCAACCACTCCAGCCCCAGAGAGATGAATCCCACCCCTTGCATACGTATCACGTTTGCCATAGAATTTGTCCCAGTTATCAATGAATGGGATGGCAAGTTCCTTGTAGTAGCTGTCTAGCCAGCAATTTATACCAACTGCCCTAGACATCCATTCATTGCCCACTCCCTTTCTAGGTAAGATGCTACATATGATTAGGATTCCTCCCTTAGACCTGACTACTTCTATGGCTGAGCTGTACTTATCCAGTAGCTCTTGTCTCCTGCCCTTCCCAATGTCATTAACCCCTGCAATAAGACACACAAAGGTCTTGTTCCCATTAACTGGCATAATATTATGCAACCTGCTATGTCACCAACACCAGCTCCTGGGAGGCACACCCTCTGTATGACCTTCCTATCTCTGTTACAAAAAGCACAGTCCATATATCTTACCCGAGAATCTCCTATAATTAGAATATTCTTAACTTGATTAGGAGGGGAGTCAGTGATATCTTTAACCTTACTAACCACTGAAGTACACTTGTCCTGGAGAACAGAGAATCTATTTCCTGCCTTCACATCTTCTTTATTAACTCTCCTTATCTTCCTTCTTCCTGAGCTGTGATCACTTCCTCTTTATCAGCTCCATCCATCTCACACTCACTCCCAGACCCATATAGGCGAAGCTTCAGCCTCCTATTTTCCTCCTGAAGACGTAGAACCTTATCTTTCAACACTTTAACCTGAGATTCTAAAATCCTACAACAAGCCATGGTGCTTGGTAACACCCCACGCTAACTCCCAGAGAGCTTACGACACGTATGACCACACGTGACCACTGACCTTACCATCCTGCCAAGTGAGTGTGAAATGGAAACCTGTAATTGTTTTATATGATGGTAGGATTGCTGGTGTCTATTTTCTGTCTCATAAACATGCGGGATAACACGTATATCTTGCAATTTCTACTTACACTCAGGTCACACTACACACGCATGTACATGCATATATATTTACACACCCATCCGGGCTTTCTTCAGTGTTCTTATTAGTTCTTGTTCTTCATTTCCTCATATTTGCATGGGGAAAGTGGAAAAGAATTCTTCTTCCATAAGCCATGCATGTCGTAAGAGGCAACTATAATGCCGGGATCAAGGGACTTTTAACCCTTCTCTTGTATAAATTACTAAATGTAAAAAGGAAGATTTTTGTTTCTCTTTTTGAGTCACCCTGCTTCGGTAGGATACAGCGGGTTTATTATAAGAATCTTAGTCTCCGGGTTAATGTAGTTTGGGTTCTTTTCTTTTCATAAATTTGCTACTGACTTCTGGCAACCATCCAGCTGTGGTGTTACCCTGCAACTCTCATCAGTGCTGCAACAGCTGTTGTTCTGCAAAGGCTATTCATGGTGTTGCCAAATTCTCCCTTTCAATTCATGATTATTGCTACAATTCTTCGTGGATGTTACACCTAGGAAGTACTGTAGCTCTTAGAAAACGTTCAGATTTGAGTATCAGACGGATCGCCGAAAATTTGAAAATAGCACAGTAAACTGTTAGTCGGATTCTGAAGAGAGCTGACGATACCGGTGATTGTGTAGTGCTGTGTAGAGAAAGATGATTCGGAAGAAAACGCAAAACAGCAAAGATGTACCGAGAGATTTGGCTTCAACCTGTTTGACGATGGCTCTTTGAAGTTGGCAGAACTGCTAAAACCCGGAAATGAAATAGTTACTGCCGCTGTAGAGAAAAAACGGCCGTGGTGGGCACTCGATCAAATGTGGCGCATTTTGAAGTACATAGGTACAGATCAGTGGTAGTGAGACGGAGCAATGAAGAACCTGTTCGGAATGGGTACATTCAAAACACCCACTTTAAAAGATGTTTTGGTAAAGTTTTTTGCTCAAGGCCCTCGACGGCTTCTTATTGCTGAGGGAACAAAATACAGAGACAAATACAAGGTAATACTGGCAACTCATTTGCTTCCCATTCTGAATAGAGACTTTCCTGATGGAGAAGGCATTTTCCAGCAGAATCTTGCTCCATGCCACACTTACGGAAAAATGCTGACATTCTTCGAAAAGAGTGGATTAAGCGTTCTAAATTGGCCTGGAAACTCTCCCGACCTCAACCCAATTAAGAATCTCTGGGCAATAGCCAAATGCAGGATGGCGAAACAAGACTATTCAGCTGTGGAACAGCTAATAGCTGCTGTAATTAGGACCTGGTACTACGACGATGAACTTTCCAAAATGTGTTCAACATTAGTTGATATCATGCCAAAGCATGTAACAATGCTTATAAAAGCAAAGGGTTGTCATATCTCTTATTAAGTCAATTATCTGACATAACATTGCTGTGAATTTTTCAAATAATCATTAATTTTTCATATGTATGTCTTATTTCATCACCGTTCCAAATAATACGCACATTACTGTATATGTCAGATCACTCTACAAAGTCTACAGTGTATGAGACACGCTCTTAATACTATTATGGACCTTTCCTCTATCACTTTGCTATCTATGTTGTTCCACTTCTTGACCACTTTAAGGATAAAGAAGTATCCTCTAACATGCCTGTGAATCATCTTTGTTTTAACTTCCAGCTGTGACCTCGTGTACTGAGACCCTCCTCTCAAATAGACTACCTCTGTCCACCCTGTCTTTTCCTTTTAGTATTTTGAACTATGAAGTCATGTAATCCAAAGGCTTTCTGTTCTCTCAGTATGTCTTCAATATTAGTTCCTCAACACACTCCTCATTACTTATCCCCCTCAGCTGTGAGAATAGTCTCGAAGGCAAACTTTTGTTTTTTTTTCCGGTATATACAGTGCGTTTCCATTTCTTTGAAACGCACTGAATATACCGGAAAAAAGAGCAAAAGTTTGCCTTCGAGACTATTCTCACAGCTGAGGGGGATAAGTAATGAGGAGTGTGTTGAGGAACTAATATTGAAGTCATACTAAGAGAACAGAAAGCCTTTGGAATACATGACTTCATAGTTCAAAATACTAAAAGGAAAAGACAGGGTGGACAGATGGAGTCTATTTGAGAGGAGGGTCTCAGTACACGAGGTCACAGCTGGAAGTTAAAACAAAGATGATTCACAGGCATGTTAGAGGATACTTCTTTATCCTTCAAGTGGTCAAGAAGTGGAACAACATAGATAGCAAAATGATAGAGGAAAGGTCCATAATAGTATTAAGAGCGTGTCTCATACACTGTAGACTTTTTCAGTTGAATAAAGAGGTAGCAAATATGGAGACAGCAGCAGTGGAGAAGTAAAAAATGATATGGTCTCCCCCATTAACACTGAAGGTGTAGTTTGAGGTGGTCACTCCCTCATCCTGGAGATGTGTTCAACTACAAAGTCTTGAGCCATGTGTAGCTGAAGCATGAGAAAGGATCCTTTTATAATGCCAGAAGTGAGACTCTGATAATGAAGATGACGTCACAGGAAGCAGGACACACTAGAAGAAGTGAAAACATATGAATTGAGTAACACTGCTGCGAGCTCATGCTAGGCAGGTTCTCAAATCAACTTTTCTCACTCATAACTGGTGGTCCGGCAATGAAATTGTAAATGATGTCCTCTTTACCAAGATACCGTTGTGTTGCAGTGTCAGATAGTGTGAATTTGAAAACGGAACACAATGCCGACAAGTACATAAGACACATGTGCTGCTAGTTAGGTATCTTTATTACGAGATGATAGGGATAGTGGAGGTTATGAAAGGAGAGACAATGTAGATGGTGGTGAGAGAGGACAGTATAGGTGATGATAAGAGAGACAGTAGAGGTGATGGTGAGAGAGACAGTAGAGGTGATGGTGAAGGAGACGGTAGTGGTGGTAGAGAGAGGGACAGGAAAGATGATGGTGGAAGACACGGAGAGATGATAATTGGAGAGAGCGAGTAGATGGGATGGTGGGAGAGACAACATAGGTTATGGTGGAAGAGATAGTAGAGGTGGTGGTTGGAGAGATAGTAGAGATAATGGTGAAAGAGAAGATTAGAGGTGACAGTTGAAAAGACAGTTGATGTGATGGTGGGAGAGACAGTAAAGGTGATTGTGGGAGAGACAGTAAAAGTGATGGTTGGAGTGTCAGTGATGGTGATGGTGGGAGAGTCAGTGATGGTGATGGTGAAAGTGACAGTGAAGGTGATGGTAGGAGAGACAGTGATGGTGGGAGAGACAGTGAAAGTGATGGTGGGAGTGACAGTGAAGGTGATGGTGGGAGAGACAGTGATGGTGAAAGAGACAGTGAACGTGATGGTAGGAGAGACAGTGATGGTGGGACAGACAGTGAAAGTGATGGTGGGAGTGACAGTGAAGGTGATGGTGGTATAGAACTGCAGCTATGGATAAAATGCTCGAATATTCCCTAATATTACGTACCTCTAAAATACCGTAGAGAATCATTCGCTTCCTCGTCTTTTCCTTTAGAGAGGAGGAATGTTGGAGACTCCTTAGTGAAGTACATCATCAGCAGGTAAACAAGGGTTGGAGCGGCGCTGACTGCAGCCAACCAGCGCCATGAGACGAGTACTGCACCAACAATGTATGCCAGCAGTATTCCTACAGTCACCATCACTTGAAACCCACTTCCTAGGGTGCAAGACAAACATTCTTTATTCAGATACAGATTAATCAAGTTTGAAGCACTTCGCAGTGCATGAAGCATAACTACGTTTCATGTTAATGTACTTTTAACATAAGATTAGACTCACCCAAGGTGCCTCTGATATCAGCAGAGGCGAATTCACCAATGTAGGTTGGAACTGCAATGCAAGTGACTCCCATACACACTCCTGTCAATACTCGCCCTGTCATCAGCATGAAGAAATTTTGTCCACCTCCTGTAATAATACAAATTATATTGTACAAATTATATTAAAGAATGTCATGACATTATTTTCTTGTGTATATAATCAATTTTGAACATTATTTCAGACTTAATTCAACTTCGCTGTGTAAATAAGTGCCTCCAGATCAGTCCAATCTAGGTTTGAAACTCACGACAACCCTAAACCTCCAACTTACTATGCACGAGAACCCACGTCTTCAAACTCACCATGCATGATGACAACCACAGATTCACCATTCATAAAGTCAATTACTCACAGACTCATCACGCACGACTACACTCTCCCACAGACTCATAGTGAACGACGACACTCAGCGACAGACGCAATATACACAAAATTGGAGTTTCTGTTATGAGTGGAAATTCTTTCAATTCGCAACTCTGTCGTAGTGTAGTAAATATTGTCCTAGTGATGACTGAAGGCGCAGATAACTGTGAATTTTATCACTTCTTGAATAACTGCATTATTTATAATGATAATTTTTGATTGGTGGAATGATCAGGTAAAGAGAGTAGTAAGAGAGAAAAAGTTAGCAAATGAGAGGTTTTTAGAAAGTAGAAGTGATGCAAGGAGAGAGGAGTATATGGAGAGAAAAAAAGCGGTTAAGAGAGTGGTGAAGGAATGTGAAAGAAGAGCAAGTGAGAGAGATTGGGTGAGATGCTATCAACAAATTTTGTTGAGAAAAAGAAAATGTTTTAGAGCGAGAGTAATAAATTGAGAAAGCCTTAAGAACGAGTGGATCTGACATTTAAAATTAGGAGAGGAGAGTTATTATATGGAGAGTAAGAGGTATCAGGAACATGGAAGGAATATTTTGAGGTATTCTTAATGTTAATGAAGATAGGGAATCTGTGATTTCTTGTATTTGACAGGGAAGTATAACAGCTTGTAGGAGTGGGGAAGAACCAGTTCTGAGTACGGGGGAGAATGAAAGGGAAAAAAGCAGCTGAAATTGATGGGATAAAGACAGAAATGTTAAAAGCAGGTGGGGATATAGTTTTGGAGTGGGTAATGCTTTCATTTAAATGTATGAAAGAGGGTAAGGTACCTAGGGATTGGCAGAGAGCATGCATAGTTCCTTTGTATAAAGGCAAAGGGAGCTTTAAAATTATAGGGAAATAACCCTGATGAGTATATCTGGTAAAGTGTACAGAAGATTTACTATTGAAAGAATTAAGAGTATGACGGAGAGCAGAATTGCAGATGAACAAGAAAGCTTTAGGAATGGTAGGGGGTGTGTAGATCAAGTGTTTGCAGCGAAACATATAGGTGAACAGTATTTAGATAAGGGTAAAGAGGGTTTTGTTGCATTTATGGATTTGGGAAAGACATATGAGAGGGTAGATAGGGGGGCAATGTGGCAGATGTGCCAATGTATGAAATATGAGGTAGGTTACTGAACTTGACTCACGAAATCATAATGACACGATTGCAAACAAACCATACCACAGGCGGGATTTGAACCCGCGGTCAGAGAGTCTCAAAACTGCAGACCGTCGCGTTAGCCACTGGACCAGCTAGCCACAATAAGATTCATCCAACTAGGTATATTTCTACACCATAGGAAGGTTAGCATAGGCACCACTGTGACCATATACCTAGTTGGATGAATCTTATTGTGGCTAGCTGGTCCAGTGGCTAACGTGACCGTCTGGAGTTTTGAGACTCTCTGACCGCGGGTTCAAATTCCGCCCGTGGTATGGTTTGTTTACAATCGTGTCATTACGATTTCGTGAGTCATGTTAACGGCTTTGAGGGGACTTGAGCTAGAGTTCGTCACGGCCACGCTAGCTGGAGATTCGTCTGTAAAAACTTGCATTTGTGGTCACAGTGGTGCCTATGCTAACCTTCCTATGGTGTAGAAATATACCTAGTTGAATGAATCTTATTGTGGCTAGCTGGTCCAGTGGCTAACGCGACGGTCTGGAGTTTTGAGACTCTCTGACCGCGAGTTCAAATCCCGCCCGTGGTATGGTAGGTTACTGAAAGCAGTGAAGAGTTTTTACGAGGATACTGACGTTCAGGTTAGAGTATCTTGGAGAGAGAGAGATTATTTCTCTGTAAAAGTAGGCCTTAGACAAGGATGTGTGATGTCACCATGGTTGTTCAGTATTTTAATAAATGGGGTTATAATAGACGTGAATGCTCGGGTGTTGGCAAGAATTATGGGATTAAGAGATGAAGAATCTCACACAAAGTGGGAGATGTCACGGTTTCTTTTTCCTGATCTCACTCTGCTTTTGGGAGATTATGAAGAGAAGTTGCAGAGGCTGGCGGACGAGTTTGGTAGGGTATATAAAAAAAGGAAATTGAAAGTGAACATGGGAAAGTGTAAGGTGATGAGGGGAAACAAAAATTAGTTAATAAAAGACTGGATATCAGATTGGAGGGAGGGAGTATGGAGGAAATGAATGTATTCAGATATGTGGGAGTGGACTTGTCAGTAGATGGGTCTATGAAAGACGAGGTGAATCATAGAATTGATGAGGGGGAAAAAGGTGAGTGGTGCACCGAGGAGTCCATGTAGATGCAGAACGTTATCCACGGAAGCAAAGAGGGAAATGTATGAGAGTATAGTTATACCAATTTTCTTATATGGGTGTGAAGCATGGATGGTGAATGTTACAACAAGGAGAAGGCTGGAGGCAGTGGCGTCATGTCAGAGGGCAGAGTGCAGTATGAATATAATACACAGAATCAGTAGTTTGGAAATTAGGAGGTGCAAAGATTACTAAAAGTATTATGCAGAGATGATGGAAAGAAACAGATTGACTTGGAGAGTATTTAAATCAGTAGTGGGTAGGGGTCTGCTTAGGAAAGGTTGGAGGGAGGGAATAAAGGAGGGTCTGTGTGCATGGGGCTTGGACTTGCAGCAAGCATGCGTAAGCATGTTCGATAGGAGTGGAGATAAATGGATTTTATGACTTGACATGCTGTTAAAGTGTGAACAAAGTAACATTTATGAAGAGATTCAGGGAAACTGGCAAGCCGGACTTGAGTCCTGGAATTGGCAAATATTGTGCCTGAACTCTGAAGGAGGGGTGTTGATGTTGCAGCTTTATAGCTGGTATAAACCTAGGTAATAAATACCGACAAGTTTGTTTAGAAAGACACATAAGCAAAACACTATGACATTTATTGGAAAACGTTTCGGTCCTTGGACCTTGATCACTTCTAACATACAGAGGTAGAAAGACATTATATATAGGCAGAGAGTGAGGCGTAAGTGACGCATGGTGACCTGAAGGATGCCATGTTGGGTTGAGGACGGGTGGACGATGAGATCATGTGACTCCTGTGTTGTTGGGTTGGTGGTGCTTAGCCTGCTTGAGTATCATGTATGCTAATGTTTCAGAAATTTTGTGGTTTCCAGTGATACAATCTATTGTGTCGGTGACGGCGATTAGCAAGGCTTCTAGGCACCCTCTGCGTCTGAGGTCTGGTTCGGTGAGAACGAGTTATGCCTCATCCCAGTTCATCAAATGCCCCGTGGAGTCTCTGTGGCATGCCTGTGTAAGGTACGCCTGTATCCACCACAGAGACTCCACGGGGCATTTGATGAACTGGGATAGACACAGCCATCAGCATTTTGGGGGGATTCTTTATCAAAAGTTTTTTTACTGTATCAAGATTTTTAAATACAACTTTGATATCAAAAGTCTTAAGAAGAGAAGGCATATCAACCAAGTTTTCATGGTAAGAGAGAACCAACATATTTTTAGTTGAATAAGGCTGGTTGTCCCTTTTTGGATTGTAAAAAGTATTTCTAGCAATTTTAAAAGATTTATCAATTATGTTTCTTGGGTATTTCAGATCATTAGCTATTTCATAAATTTTGGATATTTCTTCATCTATGAACTCTAGACTACAAATACGCAAAGCTCTCAAAAACACTGCTGAGAAAGCAGTTTAACTCTATCTTGATCTATGCTCTATGTACACTGTTATTCTTCACATCAAGATACAGTTAAACTATTTTTCTCAGCAGTGTTTTTGAGAGCTTTGCGTATTTGTAGTCTAGAGTTCATAGATCAAGAAATATCCAAAATTTATGAAATAGCTAATGATCTGAAATACCCAAGAAACGTAATTGATAAATCTTTTAAAATTGCTAGAAATACTTTTTACAATCCAAAAAGGGACAACCAACCTTATTCAACTAAAAATATGTTGGTTCTCCATCACCATGAAAACTTGGTTGATATGCCTTCTCTTCTTAAGACTTTCAATATCAAAGTTGGATTTAAAAATCTTGATACAGTAAAAAAAACTTTTGATAAAGAATTCCCCCCAAAATGCTGACGGATGTGTCTATAAGATTCCTTGTAAAATTTGCAATAAAGTTTATTACGGTTAAACTGGTAAAAGTCTCGAACTAAGATTAAAACAACATAAATATAGCATTAGAATTGAACAGGATTCCAATGCTCTATGTATTCATGAGAGAAATTTTAACCGTCCAATTGATTTTCAAAAAATTGAGAAAGTTGTATCAAGCAAGTCCATGGTCGACAGGAATATAATTGAACCTTGTTTCATAAACAGCAATTTTGAATATAATATATTTCCTTTGGTGTATATAAATTAGATCCATTTATAATTAATAAAATTCGGGAAAAATTTAATAATACATTGGACAAAAAATATATCTTAATTCTTGGGTAGAATATTTTGTTAGTGGGAAGTCGTGAAGGACCTGTCTAGTTGGGCCAGTGGGCCTGCTGAAGTGTTCCTCCTTTCTTATGAGTCGGGTGTCGTCGCACATCAGGTGTTGCTTTGTTGTGGGATGTGATGGTAAGGTGTGGTCTAGACCCTTTATATGCCTTCCTCTGATGTGTTGTCTTTATAGTTCCTTGATAATGCGGAAAGTCACGAAAGCACTTGGAACTTTGCTATCCTTTCACAATGATTGTTTTGCATATATATATATATATATATATATATATATATATATATATATATATATATATATATATATATATATATATATA